TAGTATAGATCAGGCATAACATTTTTTTATTGAGATTCTGTAGCTTGGAGCATCCTTCGCAAGTACTTGAGCTGTTTGTGTTTTAGAGGCCACAAGTCCTGGAGAGGTGTAACTTCAACTGACCAGACTTGTCTATCAGATTGTTTAACGTTTCTACTCTCATTTGCTTCCTCCAAAATTACTACAAGTTGATGGCTTAGGAAGCCCCAAAGTCCTTTTAAATTTGTCATAATTTTGATATGCAGGAGCTGCTAAGCCTTTTTTCTTGTAGCAGTCATTTGCCTGCAGTGCTGTGCTGTCTGTTTCAATCCATAGTTGCCTATAGATACTGGTATGATGCTGTTGATGTCTGGAAACCAGTTGAAGTCTTCTGTTTGGGTTTTTTTTTTTTAATTCTCAAAGCTTGCTCTGGTTCCGTTTGTTATTTCAGCTGAGTTGTGTGAATAGGCTGGTGTTGCTGTTGGTGATGATGCATTTGTGGTGTTTACAATTTATTGAAAACAAGATAACTTTTTGCAAAGAATATTACAATCTTGCAAAAGGCTGGAAATTTTGTAGAAAAAGCTGTGACTGTAAAATTGTGGTTTTTTTTTTTTCCCAAGAGTTTATTTGTTGGTAACTTTTAATACATCTGGTCTTAAATAGAAGTTCTAAAGCTGAAAACTGGGGGGGGGAGTTGAGTTTATATTTTGGAAGCTTTAAGTTGAGTACTACTGTATGGGGCAGTGTGTAAGCTAATAAATAGAATGTGGAGGAGTAGATATCTGGAGTACTGTGTCTAACTCTGGGCTCCTCCGTACCAGAAAGATAGAGACTTGCTGGAGCGAGTCCAGCAGAAGGTTGCAAAAGTGGTGTAGGGACCGGAGCATCTTCCGTCGGAGGAGAGGCTGTGAGCTGGGATTGTTAGCCTGGAAAAGAGAAGGCTCAGTTCACCCTGGCTCTGTGCAGTTATGTGTCTTCACGATTCTCCTCAGCTTGTAGGCTGCTTACCTAGGTTTTTCATTGTAGTTTGCTCAGCACCTCATTACTTGGGTTAATAAGGAGTTGACTGAAATTAATTGTAATTCTATATATTTCTTTTTTAAATTTGGCATTGTAAAATGCTTTTAATTAAAAGTATAATATATGTGCTCACTAGATGGCAGCAGATTCCTTAACTAACTGTAGGAATGACGCATTCTGTAGAAACAATAGGTATTTTGGTACTTTAAAGTGCAAATAAACTTTAATACCATAATTATGTTAAGATTAAAGTATTAGTTAATAATACGTAGAACTTGATGCAATGTACAGCTAACATTAGAGCTCCTCTGAAGAACATACCTTCTCAGAACTGTTTCAAGACTGGATATGGAAGATAACGTTACTTGAGGCTTGAATTTCATCCTATTTCTTGTTTTGATTAAACATCTTCAATTTGCAGCTATAATGTCTTCATATAACAGATAATACAAAATGCAAAAAGAGAATAAAATACGTGTATACTATGAGTTACCGCAAGTGGAGTGCAACATTAAAATAGCTGGTATTATTTATCTATAAATATGTAACTGCAAATTCAGGGCTTGTTGAATGAAAATAATTTCCTTTGAGAAATCGCTTTGTATTTTTTGGGGGGGAGTAAACATACATAATTTGTGATGTGTAGATGTTTTAAGCTAACTTTTAAAAACTGTTGAAAATGCTATTTTAATTTTTGATACTGACCTGAGTTTACTCTTGCATTTCTATAGCGCATGCTCTTTGCATTTGGCAGTTGTGCAGAAAAGTAACCTTGGTCTGAGGTTTTCCGTTCTGAATAACAGTTCTGCATTTTACTAAATGAGCTTTTCAGATGGTGGGTAACCTGAGTCAGTGAAGTTTGCAGTGTGTATTTCCACTAGAGCCTGCGTGTTAGTCTTTTAGACTGTATTTGAAAGAGTAACTGAATACTGGAAGAATGGTTTACGAAATGAAATGGGGCAATGGAGAAAAACTTGCATGTTCAGAAAGATGCTTCGGGGTATCAGTCTGGAGATGGGTTCCACAAAGATTGGTGCTGTAAACTGCGTTTTTTGTATGTACGTCAGAGGAGGAAGCTGAGGAGGTGAACTCATCTGTTTGATGAAAATTAAATAAAGGAGTGTCTAGTGTAACCATATCTAGTGAAACTTATTTTTGTTTGAAAGGACTGCATCAAAAGGAAGTAGTGAAGGGAATATGCAGCCACTCCCATACTTATCACAGCTCGATACTGTTGCCAAAACCAATATAATAGTGATGTGAGAAAGCAGAGACGATTTTTTAAGGTACTTATTGGGAGCTTTTTCTACTCTGATGTTTGACTGTCAGACCCGTTTTCCAGGTGCTTCAGGAAAGCCAATCAGTAGTGTATGACCCAGCAAATTCAGTTTAGGACTTGAGATGTTAACTCAGCACCAGTCTTCAAGGCTGACTCCTTACACTGCGTTTTGTAAGACTGACTTTGGTATTTTAAGGTTTTGTTGCGATCACTTAAGGTGGGGCTTAATTGCATCTGTACTAACATCACCGTTCCAAAGTGTTTTTTATGTTTTGAAGAGTTAAAAGTAATAAATGCCACACTTTTTTTTTTGTGTCGAATGGGATAATTAGCTGCTTGTAGCAGAGTATCTTTTCCCTCTATGGAAACCTTTTGGCCTGTTTGTTCCATTTTTGTTAGTATTTCTAGCTTGTGTCACACTTTTGTAGGAACCTTTTGAAAGGTGGAATGCACTTCCTAGGACCTCTGTATATTTTAAATAAGACAGTATACAGGCAGACTTAGTTTCTGCAATAGCAGATTTCTCGGCAAAGTAAAGATATTTGCATACTGCATCTTAATTACACAAATGCTTTATATTCAGTGATTTGTTCTACTTCATCTTTTCTCACTCTGAAATAGTAGTCTCAATCCTCTGTTTGTAATATGTTTGCCAAAGCA